CTGTTATCTGCAATTCAGTAAAAAGTGAAAAAAGTTAGTAGAAAATATACTGACTCTTCATTCTTGCAGGCAGAGCATCTAATTGGCACAGATGGTGCAGTGGAGACATAGTTAGTTTGGATTTTTTACACTGAGGTTATGTTACATTAATGTTGATTGTAGTTCTTTTACTTCGTCTGATTCATCTAACTAAGCTATTTAATGCAATTGACAAACACTTACATCACTTTTAGTGGATATTAAGCTGTTGCTAGCTGTCTTAACTTGCTGGTTATCTTAACTTGCTGGTTATCTTAACTTGCTGGTTATCTTAACTTGCTGGCCCCCATCAGCCGTTTTTGTGTTGTGACGCTCGTGGCACAACATTTTTTGACTCGTCATAAATGAATTCAGGTCAGCTGCTATTAGCTGGAGATCAAGTCACATGTTACAGTATCATGAAAGGGGTTTTATCTACTTTAAGCTGGTTATCTTCCTACATAAGACACAGGTGCAGTAGCATCACAGGGCACTGTTCAAACTTTGAACCGTCTTTGCAACCTCTTTTAGATAAATGGTGAGTAAGTATCAATCCACGTGATACAGATAAAGAACAAAGTAAACACATTTTGTTGTTAAGAAACATCTAAGGTTTGCCAAGTTCAGCATTTCCTTTCTCTCTTCAAACCGTGCCTTCATAAAACCAACCATGACCCAAAAACTTCTCAGGAAATTCTCCAGAACAAAGATCCCTAGATCTGCTACGACATGTTCTACTGCCCAGGAAGCACCGAGCAGGTCTGGAAGACTAAAACCTCTCCTTTACTCACCCTGACACGCAGGCGTCTGTCCGTTTCATGCCTTATCTCCATCTCCAGAGTGAGGATGTCTCCAGGGTAGTAAGTCTTCACGTCTTTTACCAAGGTACCTTTGAGTCCCATCGACGTGTCTTTCGACGACACCAAAGAGTATGAGGGAAAGTCAGGGGGATAGAAACACCAAGGGATACCATTTTTCCTAGATCTGCCTCTAGTTGAACCAGAAGCAGGGATGAAGCAGCAGCTCCTGGCCTCGCACAGCTCCCGGGTCACAACCACCGCTTTCTCGGGGTAGCAATCGAACCGCCACGCCTCTGGGATAGCACCGCAAGCTTTGGAACGCGCCGCGGTCGCCGTGTCGTTTACGTCCGCTTGTAACCCGGGGCCTAGAGCCTGCCCAGGCGCTGGCGGCGGCGGCCTGTGCGCCTGGCCGGATGTGGTGCGCAGCCAGTATATGGTGTGCAGCAGCCAGCCCCCGAACAGGACCAGCATCAGGCTGCCGAGCACCAGCACAGCTTTGGTGATTGAGCATGACAGCCTTCTGGGGAGCAGAGAGATGCCATCTGGCTGTGGCACCTGAGAAGGAAATAAATTAATGCAGTGGCTTGTTGTTGCGGTTTCTCAGTTTGGGTTTTTCCCTTTCCTCAGGTTTGGAGGCAGACTTCAAGGATGACGACTTCTGTTCTCTATACTTTGTTCTCTCCTCTACTCCTATAGCCTTTACTTTTTAACCCATTTCCTACCTTTCTTGCTTTCTTCCTCCTCTCTTTACCCACTGCATTTGAAATAAGCCCAAATAAATTTCTAGTTAAGTTTAAATATCTAAATCAAGTGGAACATCTTGGTAAAAGCTGTAAAGCTCCACTCGTGACAGTAGATCTGTTGGGCCTCGAATTAATACTCGGACAACAGCTCTGAATGACAAAAGTTATAAAAAAATTAAATTACTACACTAAGCTGTCATTTAAAATGATGATTGTTTGTACAATATCCCAGGTAACACCTGCCCCTTAAAAATCCAGATTTGCAAACAGAAATCGTTTACGTGTAGATAAACAACAAAGAAAGAAACCAACTTCTGCTGTCTGAGTTTCCATTTAATAAGAGAGGAAAACAATCAAATAATCACAAAAATACAAAATAATAATAATAATAATAATAATAATTAACTCACGGCCACATCTTCTTGAGCTGGACGATGATGGTCTTCTGATAAAAGTGCACCAGAAAACTGAACGTTTTCTGGATTCAGCTTCTTGTAGGACACCATGGTAATGATGTTAGTCTGTCACACAGAGCTGGACAAAAACAAACCCCTTCAGGATGATCCGATACAACCACCACAAACCAAGCACTGCTGAAAACCCGACTCATTTATACATATTTATTTACAACTGAACCCTTTCTTGTGATTAACAACTAGCATAATGTGATGAGCGAAACCAAACGATGAAATGCCTTCAGGTTCTGTGTATACTAGCAGCTGTTGTTGTGGAGGTTTAACGACAACAAGGAGAAACGTCGCCTCCGTTGCTAACACTGATAGCAACATGTATGTTCAAGCACCACCGCTGTAAATGCAGCAAATAGACCAAAGTGCGCTGATATGTAGCATTCGGTGTATTTTGATGTTGGCTAACTTCAGCAGCAGGAATCAGCTTTAGCTAACATTGTGGCTTTAGCTGGAAGAAGCGTCACGTTGTTGGGCTCTTACCTGAACTTCGAACTTCTCAGGCACAAAATACAGCAGCCAAAGCGGCTTCTGCTTTAAACTAATGTCGGCATTACAAAGTGTTTACCCGCACTCACGGACTCGTCCCCTGTCTGCATGTTGCACGTCTGTTTATCTGGAAGCTGCATTCAACAGCCCTCGGAATATTTCCAACTTCCGGTTTACGGTTTGTAAATTGTAAATTGTTTTTATAAATTTTAAAATCTATCTATCTATCTATCTAGCTTATTATACATTCATATATATATATATATATATTTATATATATATATATATATATATATATATATATGAATGTATATATATATATACATATATAGAAAACAGTATATATATATATATATAATAAGATATATATTATACATATATATCTTATTATATATGTATAATAAGATATATATCTATCTTATTATACATTCATATATATATATATATATATATATATATATATATATATATATATATATATATATATATATATATATATATATATATATATATATGTGGTGAGGAACAGTTCATAATTTTAAAAGGAATTTTATGCTTATAAAAAATGTTTTATGCAGCTCGTCGTGGCGTTTTAAGACCGCGGTGCGTTCATGTGCAACTTGTACACCACATAATCTTTATTAAAATAAAGATTTGAACAATAATTAAATAATTATTTTTTAATTTGTGTTAAAATAGCCCCAAAATAATTATTGATTATTATTATTATTGTTATTATACTATCACTACTACTACAACTATCTAATGTATTTGTCAATGAGCAGCTTTTTAATAAGTCAACAAAGTTCAACAAAAACGACAAGTAAGTGGTTTTGAGATTACAAAGAAAACCCAGAATACAAAATAGTAAATGACATGTTCTCACCCTGCAAACCTGCCAAAAAATTTGAAATTTCTCAATATGTCCAAAATGACTAAGTGTTTGTGGGAGTATTTTTAACTCTTTCATCCGAGTCATTTACACTGGACTGCAGTCCTTTGCACACAGTCAAACAGGAGCACAACACAATGTTAAATACTTTTATTGTAAGGCAACACATCTGATACAGCTACATCAGTAAATATATCCACCATCAACACAGCATAAAAATCATTTCCTCTTTGGATAACGCGTCCTTTTGGTGATAGTATTCTGTTTATGGTTGGTTGGCTGTTTTGATAGACGCAAATCAACATTACAGAGCAAATTTGAAGCATTTCACAAAATTGTTTCACTATTAGAAGGAGTATGTGACACACAGGACAATCTTTAGTCTTCGTAACACAAACGTATCTGGATTCTTGGACTGTTTAATCAATTCGGAGCTGATAATAGATGCGCCCTCTCAGTGATGTTTCATCACTTTAAAGGCACACGTAATGATGACGCAGTTTCTTATTCACAAAGGATTTCTTAAATAATCAAGAATAAAAGAATACGTTTCATGTCCCATACGCAATTTGGTCCTTATTGTGTTGAAAACATTCAAGCATATTCCTTTTAAAAACAAAATGTAAAAAGTTGACTCAGTTTTCATTTTAAAAACAAAATGAGTTAATGTATACTGGAAGACCCAATAAAAATACTTATCTGTTCCATGTTCACATTCAAAATTATCAATAAGACGAGCATTGTTCGGACAAAGTGGAATCACCGACAACTCTAAACACAAGAAAACAGTAAATTAGAATAATTGAGACTTTGTGTCTTTGTGTTTGCAGTGAGAGCTGATTTTGAGCGCGTTAGTTGTCGAAAATTACAGACATGTTCAAAATAATATCAGTTCAACATCGCACGTATGTTGCTAATTTGATCCAATTAAATCATTAATTCAAAGTGAGCCAACACATGTTGGTAGTAGAAGGACAATCCCTATGAACCAAACACCAGGCTTGGAATAAAAAGCTGACTGGAGTGGCGAAAGTTCGTAAAGAAGTGAAAAAGGAAAACTAGAGCCTAACAGTACAACACAGTGCTGGTTTTCCATGCACTATTAGGGAATAAAGGAGTAAATGTCGGCCAAAAAACTCGAAATTTTCAAGATATGACAAGGACATTTCTCAACTAGAAAAGCCAAATGGTTGCTAGAAAAAACACTCTAAATTGTGGGATAGATTAAAAAAAAAGAAAAAAGTATTAATTCCAAAAGTTGAACATTTTTGACTTTTCAAACTAGGAAATTCCTACTTTTTTTTCTGCAAAACATTTAAAAAAAAATTCTAGAAAAGGACAGATGTTCTTTTGGTAAATATTTACTCCTTTTTTTCAATGACCTGAATATGCTGTGACATAAAAGACCAGGAAGAAAACAGAAAGATGCCATTTGAAAGAATTGCCAAAAGGGCGAAAACTTTGGAAAACTCCAGAGTTCACATATATTGTACCTTGAAAATGACAAGACCAAAATGTGAAGATTTTGGCAGGAAGCCGGCACAAAGTCAAATTATTGAAAAATAAAAATACAAATAAAAAATAGCAGATTAAAATTTGCAGATTAAAATTTGCCAAAGAACAAACTGACTGACTGTCCTAAAGTGATTTGGTGCAACATTTTGCTGAACAATAACAAGATTCCTCCTTTTGGACCTAAGTCCTCAAACAATTAGTTTTGGTCACCATACATTAAAGCACGGTGACTCAGGTATCATGCTGTGGTCATGTTTCTCATTCTATGTCGTCAGACCTACTCATCAAAGTTACCGATCAGTTCAGAAGCACTGAAAGAAAGCAGAAGCTTTAACAACATCCCAAACGCAGCAGTAAAGCAGCTGCGTTTTGGTCCCAAACTAACCAGATTGGCGTCATGAAAACACCAGCCCAGATTCTGGAGCTTTATCCAGATGAAAACATGTGGGCTGCCACATGATGCAGAGGCAAAACGAACTCTGGAATGTGTCCGATCGAGGTCGCCTGTTCAGGGTGAAGTCACTTCGACGGCGGTTACACAAATAAAAAATTCATACAAAACATTCGTCCAGATTCAGAGGAAACTAAATCTTCAGAAAACGTTTGCGTAGATGGAAATATGTAAACACTTGTTAATTAAAAAAAAAAAAAAACTCACTAATAATCCATTTTCTTTACTTTCTGTATTGAGATGTTATTGTTTTCCTAAGGTTTTGGTTGTGGATAGAACCTGCAGCGTTCTCAATGCATTTCTGTGTGTAAATCTGAGCTGTTATAAGAATTTTTACTCCGTTTATTAAACACATACCGTTAGAATCTGAACACAACCGAGGCCTGGACTATAAAGCAGGTTTGACATATCATATAGTGATTCATCTCTTTTTCTCTTGACATAAACAGCAAATTAAAAACTGATAACCTAGTTAGAAATTTACTTCAGTCCTGCAATGGAGGTAGGATTTTGGGATATGAACCGTACTGGTGGCGGTTTGTGGAGGTTGCTGAAGACAGAAGGTGTAAATCCTTCGTTGAAGTTAATAATTTGGGGTTTTAAACCATTAAAATCTCACAGCACCTACGTTCTAAGGTACAAATAATGATAATAAAAATGCTGGTCATGCAGGGATGTGTATCACTGCAAAGTTTTGAGTTTGAAAGATAAAAAAAGCACACTGGCAGGGGTATCCGAAGGTTTTGTCCCGAGCAAAAATTGTAAAGGCAACAGTTCCTACAAGACAAAAAAAAAGAAAATCATTTTTTAAATTATTTAAACCACCAAAAATGTGTGGTGTTTTACTTTTACTACTTAACAAGATAAGCAAAACAATTATTTAAATAAAGGGGTTGAATTTTTCAGAGGAAAGTTTAAAACATTGTACATCCAGAAGTTAAAAAGGGTTTTGCGCGTTTTCATTATGAGGAAGGAATCCAGTTTGGACATTCTTTTGGCTAATAAATGGTCTAATTCTCAGTAATGAAAAAAGAATTGAAGTCACTCTGACTTTAAACAAGCCAGTTGTATTTAGCCAAGTAAAAAAAAAAAAAAAAATTATAACAGATTTAGTTGCACAGCAGTTCCTTTCAGAGTAAAAGTCATGAGCCAAAAACATGATGTGGTTCGTTTTACTTTAGCTGTGCTTCCTTTAACCACTGAATTGTACAAATTGAATTTAAAATTAGTACATTCGCTAAAAGTGTTTTTTTTTTTTTACATTAGCAGAATAGCCAGAAAAACATCTGAACATTTGTAATGGAAACATTGCTGAAAATGAATAGAACGCAAAAAATATGAGTATTAAGACACATTTCTTGTGCGTGTGTGTGCTAGGAAGATTAGAATTTGTCTGTAATAATTTTGCACGAATAAAACATAAAAAGCCCCCATTTCTACCAATCACCTGAGCTTGGGGCCCCAATCAGTCCAATCAGCCCACCTGTGCCGTACTTTGGAGACCCCTGCAACAGGGTGTGTATTTAATAAACGTCTTTTAATATGTTTCATAGTGTTGACAATTAGCCGCAAACACCGTGTCACTTTTTCTTCAATATGTCAAGCACAATTAAGATTTAGCGCATCATGTTGACAGTAAAACCAACGATAATCATCGTCGGCAAGCAGCTTTTTTGTCCTCCAGCAGGGATCCTGGACACGTAGCAACGTGACGTGTCCAGGATTGTCTATACATCAGTTTGACTTTCCAACTTAACTCCTCGCAATTGGGCCTCTTTCTCCAGGCATGTTTTTAATGAACGAATACCATTATAACGTGATGTGAAACTCAAAAAAATAAATACATTTTACACGATAATGAAGTGAAATGGCGCATCTCAGAAAATCAGAGGAAAGAAGTACTTTTTTTGTTTGTTTTTTTTTATTTTCAAATAAAAAAAACTTGTTTCACTATAAATTCCCTACTACGGACAAAAAAAAGGTCAAATAAATAAATAAATAAATAGTGCTGAACCCAGGTGAGGAGTAACCCAGCTTCGTGTTTCTTGATGAGCAGCTAATCCTGTTTGGTAGCACAGATCACATGTTTCTGTTCATAAGGCTGTTTGTACACTTCAGCGATAAATATTTTAGTTTTTAACACTTTTTATATAGAAGCATCACAGATGGGTAACAATAAATTCACAGAGGTAAGTGGCTACGTTCCACTTTCTCAGATTTACAGACTTTTGATCTCATATTAAACACTACCAATATATATCTGGTTAAATAAATAGTTTTTTTTCAGTCATTTTTCTCCGTTATGCACATATTAATGGGGGAGTTATTGTCGCTCTCATACAAGTCGTCATTCTTCGTGACGACCGGAGACGTTCCCTCGGTCTCAAAGTGTTTCCTCCTGTGGAGCCTGAGGCTCTGCGAGCGGCTGAAGCCCCGCCCACAGACGTCACAGCCGTACGGTCTCTCCCCGGTGTGCAGCCTCACATGGTTTTTGAGGCTGGAAGCGCGCGTGAAGCTCTTGTCGCACTCGGGACAGTCGAACTTCTCCCCCAGGTGGATTTTTTCGTGTTCCCTCAGTCGGCCGGATTGGTTGAAGCTGCGGTCGCACACAGAGCAGTGGTACGGCTTCTCACCCGTGTGGGTGAGCCGGTGTCGGTTCATGGCGCCGGAGTGGGCGAAGCTCTTGCCGCAGTCCGGACAGGAATACGGCTTCTCTCCGGTGTGGACTTTAAAGTGACCTTTTAGCTGACCCTTCTGTGTGAACTGTTTCCCGCAGAGGGAGCACTGGTAGGGTTTCTCGCCTGAGTGAATGCGCATGTGGATCTGCAGCGCCGACATCTTGTGGCAGTCTCTCCCACAGAGCCCGCAGCAGTAGGAACTCTTCGAGTTGCTTCGACTTTGCTTCTCCTCAGGCGACGTTGGAAGACCGCGTTTTTCAACGTCTTCGTCAGCATCCGGATTTTCTGTAGACAATTTGGGCAAAAAGACTTTAAACTGACATGTCGTAGGAGCACAAACAGGGTTTGTACACTTTACTTACAGTAAACTCCAGGTATTTTAAAGGTAAGTTTTCATTCTCTTCCAGCACCACACTTCAGAGACAAAAACAATACAAATGAACCAAAAAAAAATATTGTTTCAATTCACTATTGTATATAATTGTATAATTTATTACAGAATTTTGCTACTGTTAAAAAACACAATTTCCCAATTGTGGTGTTTCCAATAAATAAGACACAAAATTGAAATCACACGTAAAAGTTTGTTCACGTGAGAAGTTGTTAGAAAACACACAGTGACATCATCCTCCTATCACTTCTTGTCTTCTTCGTGTTTTCCTCCAGCAGTGACATTCCGTTTTTATCACGTGCGACGCAAAAAAGTGTTAACGTTGCAGTTTTGTGAAATACACTAATTGCTATTTGGCCGAAAAGCTACCTCATCCAGTGCTAAAAAACAGCTTACCGAATAACGTGGAATTTTTTTTTTTAATTGCCATGTTTCTGATAAGCAAATTTATTTTTCAAAAATCAAATTAGAGCAATTATATGGCCAATGGAAACACAGGAATAATAAATTGATAACTTTTTAAATTATGAAATGTCTCTCTCACACACCCAACTGGTACAAGAACAAAATTTTAATTTAACAGAAAGTTCCCCAATTTCAATAATGTTGTTTAACGTATAGAATACAAGCCAAGTAAAAAATGGTCTCCAAAAGGGCTAAGTCACATCATGGTCATTATCTGTGTTGAGACCCATGGAAGCCAAACTCTAATTTAAATATTATTTATATTTGAGTTTGGCTTATATTCAAAATTCCTGTGGTCAATGTCACTGATCTAATCTCTGCTCCAAAACCTTTACAGAAATTCAAAGCGCTCAACAGAAATAACTTTTCAAGCAGGAGAAATACTTTATTGAGTAACCTCACCAATCAAACAATAATATTTCTCAAACGTCGATTTATTGCAGTGTCTCTCAGTACAAGTTAGAAGTCATTTAAATGATCATCTAAAAAAGAAATAAAGTTAATAACTAGAATGTACATTCACTGCACTGTATTGTTTTGTACAACATAATTATTAATTAGGCACAAAGACGAACAAGATTGAACTCTACCTTACATCACGGAAAATATTTTACCATTTAGCCAGAATGATCAGACAAAAAAGGCCAAAGATGTTTCCTATGGATCCAAGAAATTCCTGGGAGATTACTTTCTTCTATCTTTAAAGATATCACAAAAAATTGCATTGTTGAGTCTGTATTGGGTCATATTAGCACATAGCCATGTCTTTACCCTGCGTAGTGCACTAAAACTCCCTGCAGCTTCACATGAAGGCACTGGTACCAACACAAGTCTGAGGAGGGTTGCAACTTGGTCACATAAAAACCTCTACTGCCTCACCCATTGTGCTACAGAAGTGTTTGGGGAACTGTTTAGGAAAGGACCTTGTGTTTTGCTCAGGATAAGGTCTGGGCTAATTATCTATGCATTTTGTCATGAGTGCAGTCTCCTATTTTAGCTAAATCTTGATGCCGTCCTGTTCAAAATGCTCCTCAAACTGAACCTTTAGCATCCAAAACTTTAAACACCTCTATCCACTGCTTTGCCAAAAAGGCATCTTCAATCTTGATTCTGAATGGAGTCAAACGAATCAAGAAAGTCAACCAATGTTGCTGCTTTCTCATAGAGTGCAAGGTAGCTCCCGTCATTTATTTTTTCTGAAAAGACGACTGTAGCCCAGTCTGAGATTTTTATGAAGTGAAATATTAAGGCATTCAAACTCTCAAACAACAGCTGACGCAAAGGCGAGAACCTACATAGTCTTTCCTTTGCTGAAATCCTCAAAGAAGCCACTGGCATCCATCTTCATCCACTTATCCAGAATCAGGTCGCGGAGAGCCTAAGTAGGAAGGCCCAGACTTCCCAGCCACTTGGCAGTTCAGCATATTTTGCCATGTCCTCCAACTTACAGAGTATCCATTCATCCTGTCCTAACACATCTACTACTGCAGAATGACACATAGTGCACCTTGTTGGGCATACTCTTTCATGTTAGTTAGGGGTGTATTTTCAGACGTGGCAATGTTTTCAAGTATGGTCTTGAATTTTACTGACTGACCAAACAGGATGCCTAACGGTTCGCCAGCTATGTTTGACTCGGCCCACGAAAGCCAGACATGGGCAGATTAAGCATCAACAGCACACCTATCACCACCTTTGCAATGCCTTGGCCCGTTGTGTCAGACACCTTGAAAGGTACAATACACGCCTCAATTGGGAAATGGTCATGGTCTACAAAGTGAAGACACTTTCTTGTTCAGTGCCATAAACATCCTGGGTTTCATCAACTGTCAATGAAAACTGATCATTTGCAATGCTTTGAATTATTGCATTGGCCAGGATGCTTAGAATTTCATTCTGTGCTTTGAGGCTTGTGTACATAATAGTCTATCAACCTCTTTAGAAAAGTGGGGTAATCTTAATAAGTCTTATATGAGAGAAGTTGATACAAATAGCGACTTTACCCCATGTGGTGGATAACTGGCCCGTGATTGGATTTAGTTGATGTCCATTGTCCACTTGTAATCGCAAACTGATGATGGACTTGGGAGTTTTAGTGCACTGTATATTTCTGAATGGCTTTCTGAATGCTGCACTAATGAAAGTAGCATCTGGTATTCATCGCAGTACGGACTGATTTGAAAACAAAAACACAAGACTCCTCTCAATGTTGGACTGTAACGTAACCAAGAAAAACTGTCAAACCATTTCTCTTGGAAGGACAATGACTTTCCACTAGCAAGTGTTTGTGGACTTGCTAGTGGAAAGCACGTCCACAAACTTAGTTTCCAAGCTCTTTCACACTCTCCCTGGTTCTTAACGGTCTGTCTCCTAGAATAATAGTTATTTTTTATAACTCACAACAACCCAAACATAGTTCAACCCTACAGGGGGTACTGTCATTGCTAAAGTACATGTTTAAGTGAAGTTCATCCAACTATTACAAAACCAAAAAAACATGACGATAGACAATAAAGCCACTTCCTAAAAGGACTTTCATCAGACGCTATTCATGCCTGAACTAGCATGTTAATGCTAAACCTGTTGTAGAACCACAGAGGCTCCCAACATTAAAGTCAGCCCACATTTCTAAAGAAGGATTTTGTAAAAGAAGTTCCATAAATTATTACAGAGTCCTGAAACACTGGAAAGCTGATTGGCTAGAATTGCACTAAGTATCAATCTCATGGTGAAAGAACTTAAATAACAGATTCAAAATTAATTTCAGGGTTTTTAATTGAAAATCTTACTTATTTTAGTCTTAGACTGAATTCCAAATGATTCATCGCATTTTAGATTACTGTCCTTAGAAAGAAAGTTGGACTTGACTTGGCAGACCCCAGAGACAAACTGGAGATCAGCCTGATTTGTGCATCTCTAGCTTTATTTGTGGGACAAAATGCTACATGAGGGTTGGTGTCTCCTTACCGTTTACTGACCCCTCCTCTTCATCTTTTACTGTAATCCTAATCTCATTGTTGCTTTGCTGATGCAGCTCTTCATTTTCTTCCGGAGTCTCACAATTCTCCCCATCTGATGCGTGGTCTGGAGTTTCCTCTATCAATGTAAGGACACCACCCGTATGAACATTACATAATATCGCTAAAGTTAAATTTACATTTAAAGGGGAAGTAGTAGGTATTTTTCAGGCACATAATGCCACTTTACAGCATAACCAAGTAACAATGTTACCGTCAGTTGTAATAAGAATGCTGCATGTATAGAAATTTGACGTTGTAATTTAACTTCTTGAAACTAGGGCTCGGTTCCATTAAAAAACTCCTGCTCTTTCTGAAACTCCACCTCCAGGAAGTCATCTCAATGTTGCTCCTCTATTAACCCCTTAACAAAATTTTTACCAGCTTTGCATTGAGAAGTAGTTTGTACAATGAGCTCAGCAGATGCTCAGTTCCACGAGGTGCTTGCTAATTGCTGCTGGCTAGTCTGAAGGAGCTGAGTGGGGGAGTCGCACAAGATGGCTGCTCTGTGAGGCAGAAGCTGAGAAGCTTGGAAACTGCCGCTCAGAGGAAGGAAGAGCTTTGTCCTTCAAGGCAGCTCTAGGTCCACCAGGCGTTTGGCACAGCTTAACAGTCGCCATGGGAGATTAAAGGATTTCTCCAACATGCATGAAAGAATCAAAGCAACACTCCATGTATATTTTTGATGAAGTAATAACATTATAACATGATGGAAAGCTAAAAAAAGTGCATTTTACATAATACTGACACTTTAATTCAGCAAATAATGAGGATATCGAGAATACTTTGAAGTACCGTATAAAGGTTCCTCCTCTTCTTCCTGTTTCACTATAACTTTCACATGGGGAGTGGAAACGTGGTTCTCTGAAGGGTTTTCCATTGTCCTCGGGATAACTTCTGGCTGAGGCAATGTGACACAGTTAGGACGCTCAGCAGCATTTGGGGAGGTCTCGCTTTCAGGTACCTTCAAATACAGTTTCATAAAAATAAAAAAAATAACTGAGTAAACTAAAGAAACAAGTTTCAAAATGCTGTGTCCTGTTACTACCTCACAGATGATGGAGTTACCCTGGCCCTCCAGGCACGACTCATCCGCCGATGCTTGACTCACTCCCAAGACGACATCAGGGACGGACTCGTTCTTGGTCGACATACACGACCGCCGGTGGTTTCTCAGAGTTCCCGCTAACGAGAAGTGCCGTCCGCAGTCAACGCAGGTGTATGGTTTCTCTCCTGTGTGGATCCTGGTGTGCCTCCGAAGTTCCCCAGGAGCGACAAACGACTTGTCGCACTGAGAGCAGCTATATGGCTTCTCTCCCGTGTGAGTCCTCATGTGCGTGGTGAGCGTCCACTGCTGCGCGAAGGTCTTGCCGCAGTCAGAGCAGTGGTAGGGGGTGATACCGGTGTGGAGGCGCTCGTGCCTCACCAGTGTTCCAGACAAGGCGAACCGTTTGTCACAGAATGAGCACTGGAAGGGCCTTTCTCCAGTGTGAGTCCGCTGGTGGTCCCTCAGCTCGGCCGCCGAGTTGCAGCTCTTCTCACAGTCCGAGCATGGGAACTTCTTCCTCGTGAAGCCTGCGACTACCTCGCAGTGCATCGCCTCCAGGTGTGTCTTTAAGTGCCAGTGCCGAGAAAAGCTCTTCAGGCAGATGGAGCAGTGGTAGGGCCTCTCGCCCGTGTGAGTCCTCCGGTGGAGCCGAAGCTCCCCCTGACTGGCAAACCTCTTGGTGCAGAAAGTGCACGGGAACGGCTTTTCGCCCGTGTGGACCCTTTCGTGGATCATGAGGAGCCCTTTCTCTGGAAATCTCTTTTCGCACATGGAGCAAGGGAAGGGTCTCTCTCCCGAGTGAGTGCGCAGATGTCGCTGAAGCTTAGAGGCATAAGGAAAGTCTTTCCCACAAACCGAGCAGCTGTGGAGGGATGCTAGCTTTTCACTCTCACTCTGAATCAATTTCTTGGAGGGAGTCTCTGCAGATATGACGCCTGAGATGGGATTTGCTCCTGTGTGAAAACAAGTTAAGGAATAGCACAATATTCAGTGACATTCAGTGGATCCCAGAGTGTTTCTTTGCATCAATTATTCCACATATTTTTTCATGACATACAAATGAGAAAATTTTATATTTTTACATTTTTAATTGTAAGTACACAGATACATCAGTCTAAATTTTGGGAGAGCGGCGATAGGCTAACATTAGGCTGTGAAACCGATCTTGTCTAACTCTTGTCTTATGCTAAAAATCAGCTACTGTTCCCCTTAGTACTGTGGTGAGAGAGGGCTGACTGACACCTGAGAGAAGTTGGCCCCCCACCTTCTTCAAATCAGACAAAATTGGTGTGATACATTTGTGCACCTATCGTTTTAAAGATATAAAAACGTTTCTAGAGGTCATCAAAGGTCAACTCCCTGCCCCCACCAACTTTACTCAGGTCTAACAGACACACCCACCCACCAGATCATGTCTGCAGCTGCACGATTAGTCACCCCACTGTCGCCAACTTAGCAACTTTGTTGCTGTACTTCCTGAGCTTTCAATAAAAATTAAAAAAAAATCGGTATCGGTCAAATTTGTAATTGGTAGGTCAGGGTTTTTTTTAAGTTTGCCTATCGGCCAGAAAACTACAATCAATGTTTAAAAAGAAAAAAAGTTGAGTCATGTTTTGTTAATAGCCAGTTTTATCTGTTCTATCAAAGTTGCATGCTGATTTCTACTATTCAAGGTGTTTTAAACTAAAAAAAAAACCCACAAATATTAATCTTTCTACAGCCAACTTAACTTTAAGATCTTTAATTACTTACTGACTTCGGAGAACTCCACTTCTTCCCCGTCTGAGTTGATTAGACCACCTACTTCTTGCTCGTCTTCGTCGACAAGGACCGCCGCTGGTCCAAAGTGGTCAGAGTTCTCTGAACCCATCTCTCAAATATATAATCTAGCAAAAGAGAGATTCATATTTGACTGTAACAATATAGGCAAACAGCTCATATTGCAGCTGTGAAGGTGAAGAAATTTTTTTTTGTCAATAGTCGCCAAGTACAACAAGGTATAAGTTTCAAAGTCAGGTGCAGTAAAATGAAATTTCTAAGACGAAGATTCAACTGTTTACTGCCTTATCAAATACAATCACTGATTTTTGTGCTTGTGAATCAGTAGAGTCTGGGTTATGTCAAGACATCCTCAGTTCCTCAGGTGTATTTTATCATTTCAGTTTGGACAAGTATATAATGATGATGATGATGATGATGTGAAGATTTTACTAATTAGAGCATTGCAGACCAAGCATCAAAACAACATAAACGAAATGGTTTTCCACATTTTTCAACAATGGCTTACTTGTGCAGAATTATGAGATGAATTAGTAATTGTTTTTTTTGTGTGTCTGATCGGTACCGGTCAATACTAAACCACAAATATCGGTAATCTGTCAAACGTAAAGTGTGTCAACAGGATGGGTACTAGCTGCACACTTCCAAAAATCTAACTTTTATCAAAATAAAATTGAGCTAAAAGAAGAAAAACATTGAAAGAGAAGTGATAAATCTAACAAGTGTAGGGTGAGCCGTGAAGAAAACCACTAAAAGACTGCAAAAAATTTGAAACTGCAGAAACACAGATGGATTTAGTTTGGGGGTCTGAGACCTGCCGATCTGCAGTCGCACTGTGTAAGCTCATCTTTTAACCCCGGGGTTGCTGGTTTGAACCTGTGTCCATCTGTCTCAGTTATTGGGCAAGACAGGGTGTCTATCTTTCCAGTTGGTGGTCAGACATGCATTTCGACATTTAAAACGATAAAGAACAAGTTAATGTCTTTAAAAATAATATCAAATGCAGGTTTTAGCAGTTTTTCAATAAGTAATTCAATTAAACGTTAACAAAAGAATGACATTTAAAGTAAAAATGATATTATTTTAAGATTATTTTTTGGTCAATAGGTCGGAAACTATATACTTTCTGTTATTTTACCACAAATGTTAACATCACATAGAGAAAATGTATCTATCCTTTTTTGTAAATGTTTTCTATTTTTCTGAAATATAGAAGTGAAATGTTTTTTTTTAAATTAGATTTAGATAGATTTTCCTGTAATCTGGTATTTTTAAAAATGTATAGATAAACTATAATTTTTCATTTATGATGTTTTTTTTCCCAAAAAAGTCAGGTTACATTTGCACCTCTAAACGAGTTTAGGGCAAAAAATGTTTAATTGGATTATAAAGGTTGCAGGCCAGTGGTTTTGAGAAAAGCATGTGAAATCACAAAAAATGCACCGGCATTCAATGTCAGGAATGGGAAATTATCAAGAAGAATGGACAAAAGTTTTAAAGCTTGTAGAAACATACCTCAAAATAAGCATCATTGCATTGCAATTGCGGTTGAGGGCAATTTGACAAATCACAGACTTGGGGGCATGGAGGTTAAATTTAAAGGCAAGCCACACTTTTCAGATATCTCTTTGTGAAATAAATGAAATGAATGAATTAAAAAAAACAATGTGTCATTTCCCTTTCAACTTCACAAATCCGACTGAAACATATTGAGGTTTGTGACCGTAACGGTACAAAAGGTAAACAAGTTAAAGGGCGTCGGTGGTCCGGTGTTGTTGTCTCCACCCTGGAGGACATCAGTGTCCTCCTCAAGGACAGCCAAGCGGAGGATGGAAGAGTGACTCGAAACGGAACGCGCTTCCTTCCTCGCGCCACAAATCTGACGGGAAGGTGTCACCTGGATTTTCTGGGACTTTGATTATTCAACGTAAAGACAACAAGCTAGCCCGGTAGCATTAGCTCCAGGCTGCTAATTCTGCTGTTTTCAAGACATTAATTGACCTGTTAGAGTACAGAGCTCTCTAATAGACCTGGAGGGGGGATAAAGACACCACCCTCAGCAGACGCAGTGAGCTGAGCAGACCGCAATTGGCCTGAGAATAAGTTGTTTTAATCGTGACAGCGGCGGTCACCGCCGAGCTGGTCAGCGACCACCTCCTGCTGCTCTGGGGGGAACCGCTGATAGCCAGCTATCGGAGACACGGGCGGCGTTTCACAGCATCATTTATCTTAACAAGCAGCTGATAATGACCTACATTTTGACAAAAAAAAAAAAAAAAACCATTAGGTGACAATCATCAGAGCCCGCTAGAAATTCACCAGATTTCTACAAGACCCCCGCCCCCCCTCTCTCTCAGCTGTGGATAACACTCGCTAACTCGACTAGCTAACGACAGACAATGGACATGTTGACCAACCTCTGCATAGATTGTTCCCTCGGGTGAAAGGGAGTCGCTTCGGAATAGTTTGTTGCGACGCAGCGGCAGTAGGCGAGTCGAGGCGTCAGGTCGGCGCTCCGGCTGCTGAAACAGCGCGTCAAATGATTGTAAACAAACAAATGAGTCACGTTAGAAAAACGACTGATGACAACACTTTCGGCTTGACTTGGCGTTGCAGACCCTCGGAACTTCCGGTTATCACAATAAAAGCACAACAAGGTGTTTCTTCCTGAAGCTGCGTGGCGGGTGGAAGGCAAATGTGGGCAAGTAAATGGAGGAAACTAAAAGACTGCTTCATGTTTGCATTACAAGTCCTTCTCGCTTCATCTCTAAAACGTTTATTTCTCCTCAAGTCTATCAAGAGTTATTTTAAATAACTACTATACTAACATGCGTACCACACGGACAGGAGTAAGAAAAATACATTTTAATGCAATCTTTTTGATGTGTGCTGATGTTTCTCTTTGCTTCAAAATTGAGGTTGGAAAGCCTCCTTGCCATCGCTCTAATCTCTAGGTTAATGTAGAAGAATGACTTTACATCTTAATCTGCCAGAGGTACGAATAATACCAGTCTTAACTATTACTAAAATAAATATGACATCTATAAATACGGTATTCATGACTTTTTAAAGTCTAACAATAAGAATGGTGAATGGCCTGTACTTGTAGAGCACTTTATCTAGTCCAGAGAACTCCAAAGCGCTTTACACTACATTCAGTTATTCACCCATTCATCCACTCCAAACCTCATTGCAGGACCATCTGCCCTGGGGCAGTCTGACAGAAGCGACCTCTGTGACCTTTTAAAACTCAGCAGAAACCCTTCATATCTAAAAAAACCGCTTCATGCATTAGTTTAAAATTTCTAAAACAGGACTAAAGCCTAAAACAGGCAATATTTCTATCCATCTTTTATAAACACTGTATTACTTAATATGAAGAAAACAAAATCACAGATGTGTTTCTAACAAAAGTTTGTATTTCAACAACGAGGAGTTTGAAATAACATCGATGTAGTGCATTTAAAAAAAAAAAAAAACATGTTTGTTATTTGGCATGCAGTTTACAAAAGGCACTAAAATAGAACAGAAGAGCTACCAGCAAAGAGGAAGCATTCAGACGTAGGCACAGAACTTACACACGACATAGAAAACACAGTAAGCCTCCAAACTGTTCCCCAGCTCAGAAACCACCTCCAAAGGAACGGAAGATAGAAGAGTAAAGAGCAGTTTACTGTGACACCACTAATAGGAATGCGTGAACTGAAGTATTGTCAGATTTCCAACTTGCTCTGCTGCTTGGGTCTGCCAAGCTGCCTGGTTGGTCCCATTCGCCTGCCGCCGTGCGTCCGCTGGTGCTGCCGAAGTCCCTGGCGGTAAGTGAAACTTTTCTCACACTCCCCGCACTTGTAGGGTCTTTCCCCGGTGTGGAGCCTGTGGTGGACTTTCAGCTCCCCAGCTCGGGAGTAGCCTTTCCCGCAGATGCTGCAGACGAACGGCCTGTCTTTGATGTGGGTCTGGTAGTGTGCTTTCAGGTAGGAGTTAATCTGAAACGTTTTCCCACAGATGGAGCAGGTAAACGGTCTCTCCTGGGAGTGCTGCATCTCGTGGAGCTTAAGGGAAGACGCCGTGTGGAAACCCCGGCCGCAGAGCGAGCAGAGGAAGGGCCGCTCGCCTGTGTGGATGCGCTGGTGAATCTGGATGTAGCTCTCGTTGATGAACATCTTGCCGCAGTCCGGGCACGAGTAGCGCTTCTCCTTGACGTGGCTCTTCATGTGCGTCTCCAGTTGGTCTTTGTCGTCGAACTGAACGCAGCAGCGGCGGCAGAAGAGGAACCGTGACGCGCCGCGCTCGGCCGACTCCGACTCGGCCACGACCTCGCTGTGCGTCGTGACGTGGTGTGCCTGCAAAGCCGACTGGCTTTCGCAGTCCTTCCCGCATTCCAGGCAGTGGAGGGACGAACGAATCTTTGATTCTCCTGGCAGGGACTTCAGATATTCTGAGAGTTCGGACGCGGAGGGATTCACCTCGTCCTCGGAGTCCACAGCGTCTTTTCGACCTTGTGAAGGAAAAAGCAAACAAACCCATTTCATCCTTCGTTCATCAGAAAGTTTTATATAGACTATATATGCCAGCAAAGTCTCATAAAATACTGTCACAACATGATGACAGTTTTAACAGGTATGTAAATAATTTTTTTTTTTTCATTAACGTTACATACTGCACTTTTAACACCTAACGATCAAACTCACAGATATAAACTTTAGGTGAACATGATTGCAGAAATAAACTTTCTGACGATCTTCCAGTGGATTGATATGCGCCTGTAAAGAACTGTCAAATCTCTCACCAAGGTGGACTTTGTAGTGTGTTTTCAGATTCCCCTTCTGGTTGAAGCCCCGCCCACAGATGGAGCAGCAGTATGGTTTTTCCCCCGTGTGGATCAGCTCGTGCCGCTCCAGTTTGTATGCGTGGAGAAACTGTTTGCAGCAAACTGAACATCGATACTCGATTTTCTCCCTGGGCTGTTTCAGGAGCTCCGGGGGGATTTCTATCGGCACGCGCGACGCCTTCCTCTGAGGACGCCTCTTCCCTGTAAGGGAGTAAGGAATGACAGTGAAGTAAAGCTGGTAAAAAAAAACAAAGAAATGCCAACCAGACCTGCTCCAGCGATTGCTTGTTGTGCCATTTCGCCTCAGTTTGCATTTCAAACCCGAAAAACCAGCTGCTTCATTCCCTCAAGTCAGAACTCCAGCTGTCCTTACAAGAAGTCGTTTCAGATTTAACTCGACTAACTCATAAAACAGAAACAGTTCCAGGAGTTACCGGTTCACCTGCTGTTCCCAGTTTGTTTTACAATAAACCGGTGACACACACACCATCTGTTTCCTTGCATTACTGTTTAAAATAGATAGAAATACCATCTTATTCAGTAACCTAGAACATTACTGAAACCTAAATTTGACTCAGGAACTCAGTTTACTCAGTGAAACATATATGAATTGATTACACATAAACTGATGTTTTCAAGCCTTTATTTCTGTTGATTAAGATACATTTAATTAAAATAAAAGATAAAAGATTTTAAAAAATGATTAAAACTGGACACACTTTCTTTTCCCCTCAGCAAACCAATCAGAACATTTTGCCAGCATGAATATATTTACTTCTCTTACCAGTAGAAATATTTTCATTTTCTCCTTCAGCAGAGAGTTTGGCATCTTTTTTCTGTAAGTGTTGCTTTGCTGTAACAAGAAAAGAGAACCTGCTGTACAGAAATCATGAACAGCACAAGAATAAACCATTTTACAACTTCTGTTTATGAGACAATTATCAAAACTGGGAAGGGTTTTAATTCCTCTGCAGATTAATAGATAAAAGAGGTCTGGTTGATAAATCAGACACCCTGCACTCCTCTGATTAACATAATTTCAATGGTTCTTCTAAAGCCCCCACATTACAATACATTAAAAGCAACTACAAAAAAAAACCAAAAAAAAAAAAAACGTATTCTGCCACAAATCAAGATGAAACTTTTTCTGGACTCACCAGTCACACAGAGGGTAGTGTCAAAGTTTATTTCTTGTGGTTCGGTATAGGTGCAGATATTTCTCCTTCTTCGGCTACGTCTTGATACTTTAAAATAAAATAGAGACTGTAACAAAAACAACAGCATGCAATAATGACATTTTGAATTAGACTTGCCCATAAAGCATTAGGGAGAAGCTTTTGTACACTTACAAATGTAAGTGTACATGGAATGTAATTCTCATGCTGTTTTTATTAAATGTTTTATCCTTCTAAATTAATGTTCTCTCTCTAATTAAGGAACACCAAATCAGTATGCAAATATTTAGTTTAGCTCAAACCATGTCTGAATTAGAGAAAATCTGGATTCAACACTGGGAATTAAGCTATTTGAAGGAATTCATAAATTTATTTAAAAGTAATGACTAAAAATAAAAAAGAAAACGGTTCCAAATCATTTTTAAAAGACTCAAAGTATTCTAAAACGTATGTCCTTGATCGGTGAGCGTATGTTTATGGGAAGAACCGTCATAAAGACTCACCTCCTTCATGTATCTCTGAGTCTCCCTCACACAGCAGTGGAGGCTGAGAAACATGTCTTCGGACTCTTCTCCTCGCTGTAACAAAGACAGACAAAAATCGCCCATTTTTACACTGCATGCCGATTTCAATAAAACAATATCTCAGCATCCATTTGCATTTGTTCCACTTTCCTGATTCCAATCACCTACCGGGGTTTAAAAGAACAGGCTCTCCTTGGTCTGGGTTTGCCAGAGGTCGCTCTCTGACCTTTTTCGCCCGTCTCCGTCGCATTCTTGCTACAAAATTAAGAGAACAACCTCAAAGCCAAATCAAGTCTTCTTTCGGCATGTTTATTCATTTTTGTCTTCTGTCGTGTTTACCAGGATGTGAAGTTGAGATCTTCGTCGTCCTCACGACTCTCTCTTCCTGTTCCACTTCCTCGATTTCTTCTTCATCTCCAACAACTGCCATGACGAGAGTTGGACTGCTGCAGTCCCTTGAGTTTTGAAAATCCACCAGGATGACTTCCTGTTTGACACAATTATTAAAAAAAACAAAAAAACATCACAGTCTGTTATCAGAGCACAAAAGTGCATTTTATATTTGTATGAACATGGTATTAAATTATGATAGTGGAAGACAGGTGACAGTTTAAGCCCAATATCTACATCCTCAGTTATAAAAAAAAATACATTTTCCTCACTCTCTGACATTAAAGGGGAAGTTTTATGTAAAAATATGTAAAACTTTTTTTTTGAGCTCTACATCATGTTTTAATTTTATTCCCTCATTAAAACAAGAAATACCTGTAGTTTTGCTTTGTTTCTTCAAACTAGCCAGCAGAAATTAGCTAGTGGAACTGCATCTGCTGAGTTCATTATCCTGCTAAAACGTTATTAAAGGATCAATACAGGAGCCATGTTGTGATGATTTCCTGAAGGCGGAGTTTCAGGAAATCTTAAAGAGACAAAGGACCAATTTCAAGTCGATAAATTAGGTACCCAAATTTCTTTTAAGTGATATTTGATATATAGCATTTTTATAACAACTGAAGGTGACATTGTTGCTTGATTGTGCAATAAAATGATACAATATGACTGGAAAATACATAATACCGCCTCTTTAAATCAGAGTAGATGTTTCTTACTTTAGGTTGTTTAGTTTTATGAAAAGCCAAAACAGTTGGTGAAATGATTCTTTTCAGTAATTTAATATTCTGTCTGTCTGTCCATGCAGCCCGGGATGTCCTGGTGTTAAATGTTACGTCTTTCAAAAAAGACAACAAAAAGTCACCTTCTCAGACTGGGAAACCTCTGTGCAATCAGACTCTTGGTCAGAAACGTTTCCTGCAAAGATGGATAAAGAAGAGACATAGAAGGGATTTAGAGGAAATCTAAAATATTTGCGAGATCAGCCCTGGGTCCTGGCCTTTTGTGTTGGAATAAGAGGGACCGCTTTGGCAAACAGACCCGGCTCTCAGCGCGGAAGTTAGTTGGTGAAACTAATTAACTGGTGTTAAATGTTACGTCTTTTAGAAGAAAATATACTGTTCTGAATTATAGCATAGTATATTTCCTCAACTGCATCAACATTTTCCATGAAAGAAGGAACTCAAATTAAAAGATAATAGATAAATTGTTTGATCAATCCACATATATTTTATTGCAATTCAATATGAAAGACCCACATAAGGTGGCATACGATTGTGAAGTAGAAAGAAAATTATACATGATTCAAAAACGTTTTCTCCAAATAAAAAAACTGAAAAGTGTGGTGTGCAAAAGTATTCAGCCCCCTTATCTCCGAGTACAACTAACTCCATCCAGAAGTCGCCTGATACCTGCTAACGACGACACACAGAGTCCACCTGTGTGTAATCTGATCTAGGTACAAATCCAGCTGCTCTGTGATGGCCCCAGATGTCGGTCCAGAGAATATTGGGCCTACTTTGAAAATGTTTCAGAAAATTCACATATACAGCGAACTTGTAAATCAACTTACTTCCATCCCATGTCACCTCCTCTCCATCCGAGTTGATCAAACCTCTGATTCCTTCCGCTGGCTCCTGCTCCTCCTCCTTCGGTCCGGTCTGAAGCCTGACTGTTAAGTGGAGCGTTCGGCCGTCCAGGTTTGCAGAGGCCATCTTTGGGTCCGAGGAATACTGGGCAGAGAGCACACATTGCATCAAGAAGGGAAGCCAACATGTCATCTTTAGACTATTACGAAACTTAGTGACATTCATCAACTTCTGCAGAAAATCATTTTCAGATTTGTATGTCATGTTTTATTTTACTCTGAAATTATTTCAACACTCTTCTTTGTAATCTTAACTTTTACATTTGGTTCCTGGAACTAATACTAAAAATTTCAGTTAGAAAATGGTCAATAATTTTCAAAATATTGACTAGAAAACTCCCAAGCAATCAATCACTTGGGAGTTTTATATAAAAATAAAATTGTAATTAATTACAGATATTTTTTACAGTTTGATATAATAATACTTCAATTTGTCCTGATTAGACAATGAAAGCAAAAATAAAACTCCTTTGTGAGGCTGCAAACAATCCAAAAATCAGGTTTTGTGTTACTTGAAGTTATAAAGAACGGTTGCAGGCCTGGACTTCTCTAAACCACGGCACACAGCCAAACACTGGAAATAGAGATAAAATTTTATATGAAGTCACGACTTTGTCAAATAATATTTTGCTCTGCTTGTATCAAACTAAATGCATCCCAGTGAAGCTTAAAAATAAAAAATGAAAAACATTTCAGCTCTCAACAAGGATTGATTTCAACCTGCAACCAGTGGGGAAACTAACGTTGTGATATTTTATATTTTGCGCTGAATACTGACAAAGAACATGTAAGAATTTTTGTAAAATGATCTGAACAAAACAGGTGATGTTTGGTTTATCATTTTCAGATGTTTTTCTATAAAATGGGTATATCTGCACAATACATCAACAATAAGATAAGTCGCTATAGACAGGTGATCAGTATCAAGATATTACACCTGATTGAATTTTCAATAATTTATCTGAACTTTGATCTAGAACCGCACAGCATTCTGGGACAAGAGAACCAGTAAGCAACCGCAAGTTCAGAGAAAAGACTTTCGCTTAGCCAATCAAAAGGAAGATGCTAAGACGTGGACAGCTAACGCCCTCTCTGTAGGACCGCGCTTAGATAAGAATATATACATTTCTGGTTTTCCCCCTCCAGTTTTCACTCACAGTCCAGCTCTCTTCTTCCTCTTTGATGATGACTTGGATCTCTGGCGTGTAGCCGGGGCTTCCTGCCGCTTTTCTCTCCTGCTGCTGCCCAGCCGTCTGCCCACAACGGTTTTCGTTCAGACCAACCGACACTGGATCTTGAAGTTCAGGGTCCTAATTGAACCAGAGAAAAACAATGGTTGAAAAGAAAAACAAAAGAAAACATTTTTCAATCAGCACCTTCTGGTGGACAGAAAGGAGTAACACTGCTACTGCTAATATTGCTATTAAAACTTCAAATACTTAAGAACTTCGTTGTTCTGGATTTGCACTAAAACATGAACAGCTTTCACAAAATTTTTTTTTACCACAAACAGCATAATTTCATATTTAGACATTGCCTTTAAACATTTTTTAACATATAGTTCCTTATTTTTGACAAAATAAAGAAAACATGGCATTTCATCGATACATAAACGAGTATAAAGTTTTGATTAAAAAAAAATTGTCAGAAAATTATGTTTTGTTATCATTCTTACATTAGCAGTTTTACTAGTTTGTTTTTCATTCATGGGTTTAGTATTCACACCCTAGAGAGGAGGAATTTGTTAATTCCTTTTCTCTAGGAATTAACTTATGAAGTGCCAAAAAAAATAAATGATAATAAAGTTACAGTTTCACACAAAAATTGGAATTAATATTCTCTTAAATTTCTCCATTATACTTTATGAAGAATGTAAAACTCCACTTCTGTTGTTTACCCTTGAGTCCTTCGTCAGGCGAGTTTGGGGTGAAATGATGAAAATGCTCTTCTGGCATGAAGTCAAATGATCTCTTCTACCATCCTGCTTAATATGCAACGACTCACTCATGCTCATGCTCATACCATTTACAAAGTGACGAAGCTGCATTATTATGGGACTATATTGCTTCACGTGTTGCGTTTACATCGGATTCAGGTTAAATTAGCGACGTTTTCCGCGGCCCCGTTAGTTCGCCTGAAGCCCGGACTTCCAAAATGACACTAATTACCGCTTTGAAGCAGTTTGCTGTTCCCTCTGCTGGATGAATGGAGGCAGGTTGGCAGCAGAAGCAGCACATTTCTCCTCTGTCTGCGGGTGAACTAGCTGGTTCACTGGAACTGTTTGGCTAATTCCAAACGCTCGCGACGTTACCTCGAACATCCTGCGCCGTGGGAGCCAGACACGGAGGACGTCATGGGAAAACCCGCGATACCAGCCGGGGCTCGGAGTCAGCGTGGAGCCAGCGTGGAGCGTGTGTCAGACGCAGGCAGCAGCTGCCAGGTTCATCAAACTGGTCTGCGCTGCTTGCTTTTTTTATTATTATTGATTGATTTATTTATTAAATTATTTGAAGTCGGCCCTCCTCTTCAGCTCTCTCCTCTTCTTCGAGGCTTTAGGTATCTTTATCACTGCTTACTGCCTCCTGCTTTTAGTCTTCCGAGGTTTGTTTGAACGCATCATTTCAGCCCGATTTCCATCCTTTTGTCTGTCTCTGTTCTCCACGTGAAGGAGTAAATTTGGGTCCATGTAATGAAGTAAATGAGATTAATATTTGTTTGAAAAATATATTTTATGCGACTGTAACCTGGTTCTGAATCCATCAATGGGTCGCTCCTCTCCTGCTCATGTTACACTGTCCAGACCTGCTGCTGCGGCTCCAGACCTGCTGCTGCGGCTCCAGACCTGCTGCTGTGGCTCTCGCCCAGGGATTGAAGGACTTAGGACTGGGGGATGCCTGGCATTTTTGTAATCCAACCAGCAAAGATTGTTCATTCTGTTCCTATGTCCACAACACTTATTCAAGAATTGACATGTTTTTGACCTCACGCCCACTTTTGTCCCAAATTAAAGCCTGTTCTTATTTAGCAGCTGCGATTTCAGACCATAACCCCACACAAATGAAATTAGAATTTCATCAACCGGTTTCCTCTTCTGCTAGATGGGGGTTTAGAGAATATCTTCTTAGAGACCCTGAATTTGTCACTTTTATGAATACCAAAACTGACATGTATCTGGAAGTACATTTAAACACCTCACACTCAAATATATGGGTAGTGTTCAAAGCTTATATGAGGGGACAGATTATTTCAATATGTTTCAAATAAAAAACAAACAAAAAAGGGAACAGCTTTCTCAATTAGAAAAAGATGTAAGGACTTTGGAGATTGACCAGACAAGAACAAAGCATCTATTTTTGATTGGCAGAGTTAACTCAATTAAAATGCCTATATTACCTACATTTATTTACATATTTCAATGTGTCCCCTTTAAAGTCCCAACGACATTTTGTAAAAAAATTGGATAAAGCAATATCTCAATTTTTATGGCGAAAGAAGGTCCCAAGAGTTAAACTTCTTACTTTACAAGCTAGCATTAAGAGAAGCACATAAACTTACTCATACATATTTAGACATAAACACTTGATTTTGAGGTTGGTAACTTTTGTCTATAAAAATAGATGATTAATTTTTTTTATGACAGTATAAAAGATTGTGTGAAAAGAACGAGTTCCTTTTGCCCTCTGGAGAACTGTAGCACTCCTGATCAAAAACAACCAATCAGAGTCAGGGGGAGGGTCTTGGCACTAACAATCAATCTTGTGTACACACTGCTAAACAGCAGCGAGACATCTTAACATTCCAGGAAAACAGTTTTACCGTCCCCACTGTACTCATCCTGACAAAACACTGGCAAAGGTAAGAGACTTTTTCACACATGTGGATTATTTAAATAAATAAACGAGATAATGTTTTATTTCCAGTCTTCTGACAGACGGAGAGGTGAAACATGAGGACCGTCTTTAGTGATGCCTGATCAAAAATGAAGCACAAACAGCACCGCAAGAAAACCGAGACGTTTAATCAGTAAAAACCGGTGCAATATTTCACATGTAAACAACTGCAGCATCTCATTCTGAATACCTGAATAGTTACATAGAAATGTCTTAGTGAGTCAAAGATTTCTGTAAAAATAAATCAGTGTAGCAAAACCCATCATTACAACCACCCTTCAAATTAAATTATTCAAAAACAACAAACAATATTAGGTAGGATGAGACAAGGAATTTCTCTCCTCTGGTGAATACAGCAACGCTTTGCTTAAAACGTGTGGATTTGTACTAACCATTAAGAAAACACCCACTTGATTGTGTAAGAAACATGGAAGCATTGAACTAATGCAAAAAAAAAAAAAGATGTAAAGTTTGTAGAAAAATATTTTTTTTTATATTACTATCATATTTAGGTTGCAATTCCTCATGAAAAAGTTAAAAAGTTCACACTTTAACACAAACTGAAGTAAAAGATGGTTTTACATTTGACACCTGGACAGCAGGTGAGTTCACACAGAGGAGGCGGAAAACAAAAGGCCCCTTTTTTTTTAATCTCACAGATCATTCCTCCATCCGACTGAATCACGACAGCTCCTCCAATCCCTCTAATAAAAGTTAACAGTCTTTGTTTTATGACATGACTTTTATTGTGAAAGGAAGCAACTGGAATTCATCCCAGTTGGACTGGTTTCATCAGCGCCAACAAGTTGACCACAAGGATTCTTTCCCATGTCAGCCAAACCTTTTGACGTCCGTTTCCATACATGTAATTATTCCTGGTTACTAGTGTTTATATAAAATACAGATAATCTGTTATTGCTGTGTGAAAATATAATGCGCCGTTCTCCGTTCAAAAAACAACCAATCAGAGCCAGGTGTTAGCGCTGTCAATCCATCCTGTGTACATGCTGCTAAACAGCTGGGAAAAATACACCCTTTATCCTTTATCTTGTCGTCAGTGGCGACGCTAACAAGCCTTTGCATTCACAACTGGCTCTGCTGTCATCACGACCCTATATGAGCATGATTGACAGCGCCAAGACCCTCTTCCAAGCTCTGATTGATTGTTCTTGACTGAGTGACGTATTTTTACAGTTAGTATTGGGGACACCAGACTAGCTCAATTTTTTCAGATTTTCTGTCTCAAACTAAATTCATGACATGGTGAAAGTTTTAACAAATCTGCAAACAAAACTTTTTTAAAAAAAAAAAGAAAAGTTACCTGCTACCACTTTAAATTGTACAGGATCAAAAATGACGGATTTGGCTGAAAACAATTCATCAGAAATGAACCTGTGCATTTCCATGAGTGGCTGTATTCAAAGCACTTTGTAAGACTCGACCCGCTCCTCGCATCACCTTTCCATCTTTTTCTCTTTTCTTTTTTAAAGAATCCAGGTTAATCTCAGTTAACAACAAACCAACAACCTTTTTTAAGTTTAGGTCAAACATGACACCCTGTTTGCAGAGGCATACGTTCCTCTTCTTTCTGCACTTTTTAAAAGTCTAATCACAGCTTTTACTCCTTCAGTCCGTCCTTCACATCCGCCCTGTCATCAGGAAGCTCGGCGGCCGTCTTCCTGTCCCGCCTCCTCCCGGTCTGCCTCGTCCTGCTCGTCGGCCTCCGTCCGGTCCCTCAGCGCCTTCAGCAGGATTTTGAGCAGCACGTTCTCGTTCAGCAGGGTCTCCGAGGCGTCCGTCAGCTCCTGCAGACGCTTCAGCGCCTCGGCCAGCCGCCGGCTCTTCTCCTGCATCTGCTTCTCCAGGCTCTGCTCGATGCCGCGGATGTCGAACTTCAGCTGGCGGTTCTCGCGCCACAGCTGCGTCAGCTGCTGCGAGAGCCGCTGGCGGGCAAGGTGCAGGGTCTGGACTTCGTGCTGGAGGGCCAGGAACTCCGCGTGGAGGACGCCGCCAGAGCCGGATCCCGGTGCCGTGGCGGACGACCCGTCGGCCTGAAGCAGAGAGTCAGAGTGCTGCAGGATGAAGCGGAGGAGGTTTGGCAAGGTGATGGGAAGGTCAGTGGGATATTTCACACTGAGGTGCTTCCTTAAAGAGAAACAGAAACATTGTTAACGACCACTCTGTGGGAGAATGTGGCAATGTTTTTATCCTTTTCGTTTTTTAACTAAACCTTGGTGGAGGTTTTGTAAATAGGAGTTTTTAAAAAGACGCCCAACTTGAAGATGTCAAATTAAAATTATATTTGATATATGCAGCATTTTTATACCAACTTAGCTTAATATTGTTACTTGATTCTGCTGTAAAACGGCACTATGTGGCTGGAAACGCAGCATACCATCCCTTTGATGATTAAAACACAGATTTGCTACCAGAATCAAAAGGCCATAATAACTCTCCCGCTCTGACAGGGACATCCTGCATTCAGCAGAAATGAAATGTTGTTGTGTCAGTGATTCTGACCAGCTGTACAGAACCTCACCTGTGTCTGGGGAACAGCAGGATGGAAGGGACGTGATCCACCATGAACTCCCAGGGAAGGTCGTTACGAGCCACATTCACCCTGAACACAGAACAGGGAGCTTACAGTGTTTTCATTTCCACGATCCTCTGACAGCAGGACTGACAGGGAAATGGTCAGAGGAAGGGCACCTGGCCACGGTGATGGTGTGGTTCCCCTGCAGCAGTCGGGCCAGCTGGATGAGGACGTGGTTCAGAACGGAGCAGAAGCCGCACCACTGAGTGTAATAGAACAGCAGCACATCCTGCAACGGCAAACCCACATTACATTCACCAAAAACCCCCTGATCTTTGTTTTTTCTTAACGTTCCAGTTGTTCTGTTTTTCTTCGAGTTGCCATTTTGTCAAAATTTCTTGCTTTATTCTTCCACATTGACATTAAAAACAAACGTGACCGAAACTTTGTCAATATTTGACTGACGCCGGAAAAAAAATCTCTCAACTTCACAATCGCGTTGTTCCCGTCATATAAGAAACGCAAATAAAATCACAGCTGAATGTGTTTAACGACTTATCGCTAACGACTTGGCAATAAGTCACAAAAAAACATGCTGCGCCACGAGGAATGACTCCAACTACTTCCTGTCGTCGTCTTCTTCGTGGTTTGCGTCAGTGGCAACATCCGCTTGATCAGGTGAAAACGTGTTTCTACTGCAGTTCGTAAAATAAACCAATTTTGATGCGGTCAAAAATAAATAAATAAATAAATAGACAAGGAAAAGACACTGGATTGTAGAGCCAAATCTTTTGATCAAAAATAAGTTTTCCGAAATTGACTTGTTTCCATCAAGCAAATAAATTTTCAAAATGAAAATTATGTAATTATATAGTCAAAGAAATGCAGCTATTGATCCAACTTCTCTCCCTTGAACTTTTGATTAAGTTTAGAGCAAAAAATAATATTCCACTGTGCGGATGCCTCAATTTCCATAAAAAAAAAAAAAAAGATTCCAGGCAATCTGAATATTTATTTTTCAAACCTTTTGATGGTCCATGATGGAAGACACGAAGGAGGAAGTGGTCAACTCAGTGATGAGGCGGTGCTGCTTGTGCTGCTGTTCCTCCGGAGGATGAGCTCCACCTCCACCTCCACCTCCACCTCCACCTCCACCCTCCTTCCTGTCGTCCTCTCCAACCAAATGTCTCTGCAGATGGCTGTGTGGTGAGCTGAAGTTCCTGATGAATGTCTCTTCGGTGTGACAAAAGAAGTACACATTGCGTCTTATTAAAAACACAAAAAGAAGAAGACAACAAATCACTGTCTATTTTTCAGGAGTCATGGTGACGAAAACTGAAAATGCTGCTCCGCAAGTGACCCAACAGGCTGTTGCTAGGTAACCAAAGAGTGAGCAGTAGCCTTGCTAAGCTAGCTGTGAGAGGTTGAGCAGCTAAAGTCTTTCTTTGGCCTACATCCCCCAGAATTGGATGTTATCTATTGATATTGATCACCTGTCTAATCACAATATATATCGCTATTGATTTATTGGGCAGCCATGAAAAAGAGAATAACTGAGTTTCTTCAAGGCACTTCTTTATTGCTTTGCTTTTTGTTTTCTACACTCCACCTGACCAGTTTTTGAGAAGACATAAAACTACAGCTGACCGTCAGCCTTACCTAAAGACTCTGTCAGCGTGGCGCCTGGGTTGTGCTGAAGAACGTAATGAACCTCGTATTTCAGGTTGATGATGGCTACAAACGTCCAGTCCCGGTCACCATCGCCTTCTGTGAAAGCCCCTTTATGAACAGAAGAGTTTTTTTGACTCGACGCTCCGAGCCGCTCTGCCAGAGGCCAGTTGAGGCCAATGTCCAGTACGTAAAACCTGAGAGTCCTGTTAGTCCGACAATGCAGCCCTGTGATGCCGTCGTTCTCCTCCTCCTCCTGGACGGGAGCAGAGGATGGAGGGACGGCTGGAGGAGGAGGAACTCCGGGCTCTTCTTTGGCTTGTGATTCATTAAGCTGAGGTTCTACTTTTTTACAGCAGGCACTGAACTGAGTAAAGGGACTGTAGCTGCTCACGTAGTGGCTGCAGCCTTCTGAGGTCGCGCTTTTCATGAATATGGGAGAGGGTGGCTGGTGAAGGCAGCAGCGGTTCAGATAAGCCCTGAATCGGTCTCCTTCTCGCGAAGCGGAGGGGAACAAGCAGCGAGCCGAGGAGACGGGGAGGCTCGGCCCGGACAGCCTGAGGCAGACCTCGCACGCGCTGGTTCTGGACTCCAGAATGGGAACGGATAGACAACACAGCGAGGTGTAGAAGGGGAGACGGTCGTCTGCGCTAGACTTCTCGCAGGAGTGATAACGTACAGCAATGTCTGCAAACTGAAACACAAAAGGAAGAAGAAGCTAATCATGAACTGAATCATTAACAGCCTGGCGGGCCACCAGGCTCTGCTTGCCCCTCCACCAGGCTAAGAGTTGTTTGTATAAAAAAATCCCATTTAAAATACACATCAGTAACAGCGACAGTAAAGATGGTTTAAGCTTGGTCCATAGTTGATGCACTGCTTACGCTGTCCCTGTACCTGCCCTCATATTATTTCCCAATTATGATGCCTGTTTGGTCACCTCCAAATTTTATCACTTCACATTTGTAAACACAAAAAAAAACTTCCCGAAATCTCCAAAATAAAACCTCACTGTGAGGAATTCACTAAATACATAAAATACTGAAACACAGCACCTATGTGAAAGACCTGATGCAAATCAGGCAGGAATTTATCGTATCGTTTATCATGATACGTTTCTTCAATTCCAAGTTATTGAGTTATTTTTCTCAGCTGTTTGTTCAATAAACGTGCATCAATAAATTTGAAAATAAGATTGAATGCAGTTACTGTATACGTTTTGTTGATATAAATCACAATTATTGATGGTGGTGTGTTTTTCAAGAGCGTATCGGTGTAGTGGTGCTACGAATGCTCGGCCACGCCGTCGCAAACATTTGGTTATCTAAGAAAGTAGTAATTTGTACATCAATTTTGAATCTTTAAGATTCTGAAATTATCCATGTAATAGTTGGTATATACAGCATTTTCAGAACATATGAAGAACACAGTTACTTGATTAGAATATAAAATATCACTATCTGGCTGGAAAACACGTAATATGTCCCTGCCCTTTAATTAACGTCCCCAACTACTTGTTTCTACATGGAAGGGATAACATTTCCTTACTGGAACATAACATCCACATTTGATAAAAAAAATAAACATCCTAAATTAACTGCTATATTGTTTAGAAACCAAGAACATATTTCTTTGAGAACCATGTGTCAAAACAGACACGTGGTTTAGAATACACTAGACTGTCTCTTTGAAAGAGACATGGTTAAAACTTCAAACCAAAAAATCTAATCAGAAGGTAACCGACAGTGAACCCTGTGGCATACCACAGGTGATACAGAATGATAAATGGACTGAAATCATACAGGATTATGTTTTTTAGTCATAGCAACCACTCAAAGCTCTTCACACAAGGGTCACATTCACCCACACACAAGCGTGAAGCTGGACTTAAACCAACAAAGTTTCAGACTTCTAGATGACTAATCATTGTATCTAGTCTGGGAAACATTTTCACTGCAGAAATCATGCCAATTCTTACTGAATCCATATGGTGCATGAGTGTTCACCTGCTGTAGTATGGCACTTGGCTCAGACTGCAGGGGGTCGTGTGGCATAAACAGAAGTAGTGCAGGGCCTTTCGTCAACTCATCCTCCAGCAGGCGGGACTTCGTTCCCGGAGGCACCAGCCACTGGACGACCGTCTCATAGTGCTCAAACACCCACTTGCAGACCACCTCCGATGTAAAGTTTAGCTTCTTTCTTGGAAAAATCTGGGTGGGAAAACACACCCACGGTGTGAACAACTGTGAACGTGATCAACATTCAGTGCTTGTGTGTGGAACAAGGTCGTGCTGGCCCAATGATGCTGCCTACCAAAGAAGAGTTGAATCTTCTGTGCAGGTAAACCGTTTCATCCTTTGTGAGTGAAACGGCCTCTGCCACGTGTTTGCTCGTCACAACTCCGAACCGCACAACGCCGTGGAAATCTGCACAGAGTAAAACCGCTAAAGCCACAGTTCGCAACTTTTACAAAAAATATATATATTTTTTTACATATTTGTTAAAATTATCACTATATAACATGAGACAGGTAATCTGTGAGGAGAAAAAAGATGCTCCACTGCCTTTTCTCTACAGTCCTGCTGTCATCTGACCCGACACACAGCTAAATCAGAAACCAATCAGAGCCAGGAGGAGGGTCTTAGCGCAGTCAATCATCCTCGTTCACACGCCCGCTCATGTCCTCCTGTTTGCTCTTTGCTATGCGGCAGCTGGTTCAACACAAAGGAGCCCGTCATGAATGCTAACTAGTTAGCATGACCACCGCTGACAGCAGTTCTGTAACAACGAATTGTTTTTCCACCATTCGCATATTGAGTAGTGCATACTCTAGAATGACTGAGAGCGCTAAGACACTCCTCCTGGCTCTGGTTCATTGTTTTTTACTTAAATTGACGACAAAAGTCAATTGAACAAGTTAATTAATCTAACAAGTACATTCACAATGCGGTGTAGTGTACAGTGACTTCTGCCAGGCACTGCTGAATAAATACACTCGATTTACTGCTTGTCAGACCACATTGTAAGAGCAGAAATTTTGGCTGGTTGTGGCTCTGGAGGAGACAAGTGTTTAACATAATGAGAAGGTGCAAAGACATGACTAATGACCAAGCAACCGTTGCTATTCATTCACATAGGAAGAGTTAGACGGATACTTCTAAACTATCGGAGAAAGTCAGAAGTAGAATAAGAAGACAGGTGTTTATATTCCCAAGAGTAAGGAATTCGGCAAATCCCTCCCAATGTCAATACAGAGTTGCTAGAGGCCTGTTGGTAAGCTAAATGTTAGCGTTGTTCTGTTATTGATGAAAGACGTTCAGTTTATAAAATAGTTGATAAATTATTGCTTCTGAAGTTGGCCCAACCAGCTACAGGTGCTCAGAAGCTTTCACTTCACCGTGTTGACAATCATTTAAACTGTTTTTTCCCTTGTGACTGTGTAGAAAATGTCAGTGAAATGTGGGGAGGAAACCATGATCGTAGGGCTTTTACCTCTCCTTAGGGTCTGCAGGGCAGAGGACAGGTAGGTGATGTACCCTGGAGGCTGTGGAGAGGAATTGAACTGGAAGAAACCCACCACACCGGACTGCCAAAACAAGAAACAGATGGTAAGAATGAACTAATGCACAACTGGACAAACCGAGGGTTTAATACAACATTCAAGCTCTCATGTTTGTTTCATTAAACAACCTGAAGCCATAGGATACCTCGTGCTGGGTCAGAAAGTTTTCGAGATGCGCTCTGGTCGGGAGGTAAGTCAGTGGTGTGATGACTCTGAGGGTAAAACTTTCAATATATGGAGCCACAAACGGTCCTCTGTACTCGATTGGCCCAAACCTGCAACAACAGAAGCAACACATGAACAACTCAGAGGTACAATTTGGAAAGTTAGATAAAATCTACCTTATTGGTAATCTATTTCTATTGCCATGTACGGCGTGTCCAAAGTGTTCCTAGCCTACAATTCAACAACTTGACTTGGCTTTTTGAAAACTAACACAATTAAAATGGGAAACACAAACTAATGACATTCTTCACTGACAAACAGGCGCTCCATCCATTAAACTGGGCTAATTAAAGGAAGAGCTTTTGAAGAAAGATTGACCCATATCCTGTTCTTGTCAAAGAAAATTCACACAAAAATGTTTTGACAAAAAAAATTTAATTAGGCCATATTTTTTTTTGTCTAATAATGTTTAAAAACTTGTTTTATCAAAATATAAAGTACTTAGTTTATTGATATGGTAAAAATAAATAAATAAATACAATGCAATAAAAGTTGTTTTGATAAAAAATTTTAAGTCGTTCGCTGATATGTGTTTCACACCCCAAGCCACTGTTCCTCCTTACCTTCTGTAGAACAGATGGATGATGGGGTAGTGATAGAAACGTTTCTGCCTCCTGCATTTCCCCTGATTCCACCAGCAGTTAACAGCCACAAACTGCACCTGCAACACAGAAACCAACTAAGCTGCACCAGAGAAACTAAACCAAATGAAGGTTTTGATGCAAATTTCTCCAGTCGTGCAGAAAGGACTCCTTCACTTGCTTCAAAACTGAAGGAGTGAGAATTTTTTCTAATGTGCAGCCATTGCCAAAGGTGTCCAAGTTGCTATACAGGGTAATCAGGTGAAATTTAAAATGGCTGTTATGTATTTTCAGGCTGAGAGCACTGTTTTATGGCACAATCAAGTAACTATCCTGCTTTCAGTTTTTACATTTTAGATGTATCAAATAGGACTTAAAAAACTGACTTTGAAATGTAACGCTTTGAAATTGGGCCTCTGTCTCTTTAAGAAACTCTGTCTCTAACACTGCACCTGCAGGAAGTCACCTCTCTATTAACCCTTTAACAAAGTTTTTTGAGAAGTAGCTCCAATAATGAGCTCAGTATACTCAGCTCCACCAGGTGTTTGCTAATTGCTACAGGCTAGTCTGAAGGACCCACAGGAGAAGACTGCTCTGTGAGGTGGAAGCTCAGATGGTTGTACAACTGCAGCTCCGAGGAGGAGCTTCGTTCTGAAAGGCGGAGCTAGGTCCACCCAGGTGTTTTGCCCAGCTGAGTGGTTGCCATAGGAGATTAAAGGATTTCTCAAACATGCATGACAGAATCAAAGCAACTCTCCAGGTATGTTTTTGATGTATGAATAACATTATAACCTGAAGCGAAACTAATAGTCATATTTCACAGACTTGTATATATATATATATATATTTTAGACATATTAGTACATTTATATCTTTACATATATATTTACCCCTGTAGATGCTTATAGTGCATTATGACAGAAAGAGCCACAGCTGGAAGCTGCCCCTCCACCGGCTGTTTTAACACCTGGTTCCAACTTAAACCCTCCTGCTTTCAGTGGTTTGTGCCTCCATACCTGTTTGGCCAGCTTCTTAGCAACCTGCGTCACTTCCTGTCGAGCAGCCATGGAGTGAGCACACCAGGGAGCATAGAAGAAAATGAAAGACACCTCGGCCATGTTCCTGAGACGTTCCACCTGCAGAAAAAAAATCAGTAATTTATCTAAGGCACAGAGTTTATTTCACATGATGCTCGTCTCAAATCTACCCACGGAGAAGGATCCACTACATTTAATAAAGCGAGCCTTATTTTTGTGCTTTTGTCACCACACGGCGTTACTGGTCCTCACCTGGTCCAGCTGACCCAAGTAGAGGTCCACTACCGGGGCATCGGCAGAGAAGAACCGGATCGGAGGCCGCGCCGCCGCCACCACATCCTTAGCACGGCTACACATGGAAATAATGAAAAGAGGAGTGGAAGGAATGATGATCAATAACATAAACTGGTTGTAGCTCTTTATTAGTAACAGCACAAATCTGCATCAGTCAGAATTGGTCAGTGGCACATATACCACCTGAGTAACCCAGATTCTGTTTAATTCAATATATATAAATGTAAACACTGGCCAGCAGAAAGTACACTGCGGGGTTAACTTGTAGACTTTACTAAATTCAAAACAATGTGCAGAAATGCATTTACAGATTAAAAAAAGTGGGGATTTTCAATTTTGATGCATTTAGCACACACACAAAAAAAAACGTCTTTCACCTGACGTTCAATTTTATTTTATTTTTTTATGTTATGCTTATAAAAAGATCTTAGCAATGTTAGCAAGTCACTCTTGTCTTTGGTACTGTGGAAAAATACAATTTAATGCAAACATATTTTCTTTGGAAATCTTATTGCAGCTAACCATCTGGCATTAATTACATTTCCTGCTTCAATTTAAATGCTTCTTTGTTATATCCCGAGCTCAGGCAGCAGGATATGCTGCAGATCATTAGCAAACTGCAACTTGGCTCAGGTCCTTCTGGTACTGATGGAACTATTGAAAAAAAAAACATAAATAAATAAATCAGAGACTTTATCATTTTAGCCATTCTGCCCAACCCAAGATGGCTCTGAAAGCTGGGGGACAATAGTAAATCCAGAACTGTATCCAGAAAACACAACACTAGAGGAAACATTACTAATTTATTTATTTCTTTTTTTGTTTGCATTTTCTTTCTGAACATTTTCATGTGATCTTTCACCATCAGACCAAGAAAAGCCTGACAACTTCTGCTCTCCATGTTCCAGTGGGTCAGTGTGGCATCAACTGATCAGGAAATGACAGGAATGACTCCATACTGGGCTGAGAATACAAATCTCTGTGCTGATAAAAAAAAACAACAAAACAAAACAAACAAAAAAAAACAAATACGAATTATCTAGCATAGGTAAACAATTATAGAATGTTCCAAGAGATTTCTACAAATTCTGCAGACCTCAAGGTGGACTTTAGTTACAAGGTGTCCAATTTTACAGTTTGGATTCTGTCACCTCCAAGCCATGAAAACCGAGCAGTGCTTGTGTCCATCTTGAGAACAATGAATCAGAATTGTTATACTAAGACATTTATCGCGATAAATGATAAACAATATGAATTTACACAGACCAATTGAGCCAGAGTACCCGCTGAGAAACCATTCGTTCAAGAAGAGATCATGTAGGGCAGGGGTGTCAAACTCCAGTCCTCGAGAGCCTCTGTCCTACAGTTTTTCTATGTGCCACAGGTACAAAACACAGGAATGAAATGGCTTAATTACCTCCTCCTGGTGTAGATCAGTTCTCCAGAGCTTGCTAATGACCTAATTATTCTATTCAGGTGTGGTGCAGCAGAAGCACAACTAAAAGTTACAGGACACCGGCCCTCAAGGACTGTATGTTGACACCCCTGATGTAGGACAAAGGTGTTAAAATCTTGCAGTGTACAGATGTTCCCCAGGTACAAAACACTGGAATGAAATGTATTAATTACCTCCTCATTGTGTAGATAAGATCTCCAGAGCCTTTATGACCTGATTATTCTGTTCAGGTGGTGCAGCAGAGGCACAACTAAAAGTTACAGGACGGTGGCCTTCGAGGACTGGAGTTTGAGACCCCTAATGCAGGGTGAACCTGATGTGGATTTGAACTCACGACCTCTTAACTCTTGTTCTTAACTGGCGTTTTACTCTGAATGAAAAAGAACCGGTCCTACAGAACAGCCAGAGCTGAATCATATGCGTGACCCAAACAAGGAGTAATGATCCCACACAACTGAAGTTATGAACAGAAGAACCAGAGCCAGTGGCTGTTCAAAATGGATCAACTCGATGGTTAATCCTCTGGTCTGTCAGCACACGTCAGATTAGCTACAATGACCGGGTAACCGTGGCTCATTCCAACCAAACTATCCCAAAACAAAGACGCCCATGTTCGGAGTTTGGGCTTAAATCCCCCCCCACACACACACACACACACACAAAATAGCACAAACCTCCCCCCCAGAAACAGAAAGTTGTTTGTACCTGCATGTGAACCGAACCGCCAGTACGAGCAGGACGCTGAGCGCGATGGCCCCGCAGAGAACGTCTGGTCTCCGGGCCATCAGTAACAGCACCTGCCGGAGAGACTGCCGCACCCGGCGCAGCATTACCGCCTCAGGTCAGCTCTCCACAGCATTTATAGGCCCCGGATGCCGCTCAACGCCTTCATTTGCCTCCCAGGGCAGGAGGGTGACTGGTTCGGCCAGGGACAGAGTGGAGCTGGATTGGACATGGGTGCTGTTCGTGTTTAAGGTATTCAAACACGGCCAGTCCAACCTTTCTTCCCCACGTAGACTTTTTACTTCCGCGACAACGGCGTCAGGGAGAGTCCACAAAGCGCACCGCGCTGGATGAAACGTGAAATACGCCGAAGATTTTTATAACATTGCGGATTAAAAGCGTCATCACAGCTCACGACAAAAAACGTCGAAGATATGTCGACCATTTCATAAACAAAATGAATTTTTTCCCTTCTGGGGTGGCACGTTTGTTTATTTTCGCGTACGAGCTCGAATCTGCGTCTTTAAGAAATCGCTTCAGTGGTTTTGACGTTACTAACGTCGCTGCCGCGCTCGCTATGATGTTTTAACACAAGGGGGCAGTGTTTTCAAAATCAGCCATTTATGATACTGCTTCAGAAGTTGTTCATAATTATATTTGACATATACAGTGGCAGTTTGGATTTTATAAATCCACTCTTAATTTATTTAAAAGCGTAATGACTGAATGCTTCAGATTCAGTCAGAATTATCTGGCTTAAAGATCTAAAAAAGGAGAGTGACACTAAAAATATTTTATTTTTAAACGGGAATATATTGAAAGAAATTGGACATGGCTCAGCATAATTTACTGTTTTACAGCAAATTCCTGTTTGGCAGAATATATGGGGGGATTTCCCCCGTGTACAAAAGACACGAAATCCTGCTTTCAGACTAAAACTGTGCAGAATCAGGAAGAGCAAAAATATAAAAGAAAAATACAACTATATGAAAAACATCAAAGTTCACTGTCTTAAAGAAAAAGAAACATCTAAAAATGATCCTGAAATGCTAAAAAATGGGGGGCAAAGACAGATGCCTATAAAACAGGTTAGGAGATAACTGACCTAAATTACAGTAAATTATAAATATAATGATACATATCAGGGCATCAGCATTATATATTTTTAACCAATCCTCTATTTTCTTTACCTAACCCATTTCTGTGGGAGTGAAAATATCAAATGTTTGTATTCATAGGGTATTTTCCATAAGAGCAGAAGAAAACTGAAAACAATTGAATGGCTTAAAAAAAAACTATTTTATTCATTCGAGAACATAAAAGAGCTCAGTCACAGTGTCAAATGTTAAGTGCAAATAAACATAGTAATAAAAAAAAAAAACCTAATAATTCTTCAATTGGCTTGGTCCAATAAAAAAAATGGAAAAAGACACTGCAACATTTTTTCTTTAAACAATAAAAGATGTGCAACTGTATTTATCAGCAGTGTAGGCAACTAAAAAAAAAGAAAAAGAAAAAACATTAAACATTTTAAAATATCAATTTTCATCAGTATCTAAACAAATTTCAAGATTTTATCTTTAAATTCAGTTTTGTAAATCTTGCAGCAACACAATCTGCTAAAGAAGCCTTCAACAGATTGTTGAAAACTCTGAACAGAGCGAATGCTGAACTATAAACTGCAATAGTCAACACCACATAATTTCAACAAATCTCATAACATGGAGTTTTGGAATAGATTTGTAGCAAGTAACTCAAAATTCAAATAAAATATTTTCATCTTGATGAAGTAGCTGTGCAATTCCTCAATGATTAGAAGCTCGCTAACAAAAGTCTTTCGACTACAGAAGTCAAAGAAACAATGAAAAAAACAAAAAATCTTGTTTTGAGTCCTCAATAGTGACGTTCATGCTCAACTCTTTAATACCATCAGTGTTCAGTCCTGACTTCCTCCTGGTATTGTCACTGGGATCCAATAGGCATTGTGGTTTTTAACACGCAGAAGACGTCCAGATATTGCAGCAGTGATCAGTTGTTTCTCCAAAGACGGCTTGGAGTCCGTCTTGTTCCGAACTGCAAAGACTAAAGACAGGAAGACAGGAAACCTTTCAAACATTAGATGAGAAAAACTCATCTGAAATTATGGATTAAAAACCCCCCAAAAAGAACCCTCCAGTCCTGCAACTTGGACTTCATACGGGGCTTTATTTAGGTTGCTGTCAACTCTACAGCATAGCGTAGGCACTGACATATGCAGTTTGTTATTGGGCCCGTGTTTCAGGGTGCATCAGCTGCTGCACCACCAGGTCTATGTTAATGATGGGACTGAAGTAGAGGGCCCAGTAAAAAAAGCAGTTGCACACAAACTGTGGGATAAAAGGCCACAGGAGGGCAAAGGCGAATCCCTGAGAGAGCATCTTCCACAGGTGGCTCCACGTCTTCTGTGGCAGAGTCCTGCAAAAAAACAAAATGGTACAAATTAGCTAGAATGCTAGTGTCATTTTTTAAAGTAACTTTCTTTTCCTAGGCAGGTGTTTAGGCCCCCTTTGCTTAGAGCATATTCTCTTTGGAACCTGAACCTGAAAGATAAAGTGACAAAGCAAAAACCAAAGTCCAGGTGTGTGTGTAAGCTAAATAAATGAAGAGCACACATCTGTGGGGAACTGCTACTACAGCACAGTAGGTAGACCTAACCAGCACTTTTATTTTTCTTTTGTGCCAAGAGAAGAGAATCCATACAGATTCTCTTGTGCATCTTGATTTTCACCTTGGATTTACACTACAAGCGTCTCTGCTCTGCTGCGCTGTGCAGCACATTTCACTGGCGGAGCGAAGCCGTTCCTGATCACCTAGATTTACACTTCGTGCAGCTCTGTGCAAATCCAAAAGTGATCCAAGAAGCATGTCGGAAATGAATGCCAACAATAACATGTATGGGTGCACCAATTGCAGTTTTCTGGCTGACCACCAATTACCGATCTTTTAAAAAAACAAATCAGATTTTGGCCGATACCATTTTTTTTTTTTTTTGTCTTTAATGCTGCTTATTATAACAAGAAAGTTGTTGAGTTAATTATAAAACATGCAGATATAACTTGGTGAGCCGGTCTGTCAGTAGATAACATCTGTGGATAAGATCAGCTTCATATGTAAAATGGGCCAATCACCAATCTCTCAAAATGAAGGAAATCGGCACCGATAAATAAAAAGGAGAAGTGGTGTCATATAAAACCGAAACTTTTCCATGGCATGGTGGGAAGAAGGCGTCAAGGAGCAGACAGACAGAACAGTACCTGACTGGGGCTGTGTTCCAAAGCCTCCACAGAGAGAAAGCCTCCAGCATAGTGAGCAGCATGGCGTTGACGATGATGAAGCGGGACGTCCAGTAGTGGACCGCCAGCCAGTCCCAGGCGAACTCCGCGATCAGCTGGTATGGAAGCATGAAGTACTTCACGAGAAACTCCCCCCACTGCTGCCAGCTGGGCTCCACCTAACACACACAGGGACACGGCAGAAGCTGTCTGTTTGACGTCAATAAAACCCACCGAACTGAAACAGTAGAAGTGATTTGGCGTCACCATGTGGGCGAAGGGAAAAGGAAAACCGTTCAGCCTCCACGTCTTCATCCACAACTCACCGTTTCATTATGAGGCATTCATTTGGGTGTTAAATAGTCTGAACTATTTTTTTAGAGTGAAATTATTTCATAACAATGCAACTTATACGCTTCTTTTTTCAATACCGTTTATCTTGGTCTTGAGGAATGTGTGTTGACTTCTTGTGAGACATTCAGACAACTTAAAACAGTCGAACAGTTCATTTAATCCAAAACTACTCAGTAAACTAATGTTTTTATCCCAATAATACATCTGTTTTCTCTGTTCATCTTAAACGTTGGCTCCAAAATTCCTATTTTCAAATTATAATTCCATTTGTTTATGGTTTTCAGTTCAATCTCCTGTCAACAGAAAACAATAACGCATTATTTTAGGTTGACTTATAAACAACATAGTATATTAATAGTCACAGAGCCATCGTTGAACAGTAGGGGTAAACAGACGACAAGCATCCATTTACCAACTAGATGCTTTTGAATGACTTCTGACTGGATAAAGTGTGTTACCTGTGTGTGGAGGAATCGGCTCTCCACTGTGTTATTGACGTGTGTGACGGCCGGGCAGCAGGTGTGCAGGAAGGGCAGAAACGTCTCAGAATAATCAAATAAATACAAATAAAAAATGGTGAGACGAGGGGAGCGTTTCAATGCGTACAGCAAGAACAGAGATTTTCCTGCATTGGCCGCCTGGAAGATACCAAGAAAAGCAGTCAGAGGTCAAGTCATGTTAATATCTGAAAACAAAATCTTCTCTACTACTGCAAGAAGCAATCTGCAATCTCATCAAATCTTTTATTTATTTATGTTTTTGGATGTCGCTGCTTAGCTTCAGCTGTTCAAACGTGGAGCTTACTTTGTATTCCCAGAGGTTCTGCGGAGGTTTGACCCCCAGCGCTTTAATTCGCTCCAATTCTGCTAAAACAACACGTCTGTGTGTCTGCTTCTCTATGTTGAACGGCGGTTTTACCAGATCTTCGTCTCCCAGCATCAAAAGTAACCTGAAACACAAGAATTAGCGTCGCAACGGTGAAAAAAAACCCACAGGGGAGAACAAGCTGAAATCTTCTGATGCGTATTTGTATCGAGTATTAGCTGCTGGGAGCAGTCTGGGCTTAAATGTGTCTGCATCAAACTATTACGACACCGACATAAACAAAACGAATCAGTCCAATGTTTCTACCTTCCATTGACACTCTCCACCTGGAAAAGTTTTCTGTAGTTCTCGGTCCACGGACCCAGCTGCTCCAGCCATGAAACGACCTCTTCTGGTGTCCAATGAGACACCGGCTTACTAATCAACAAGTCGTCCTGCTCCAGTACTCCGCTGCCCACGTGGTGCACCAGCACTATCACCTGGACACAATAGGAAATTACAAAAACACTAAAATAGTCGCTAATTTTAGAATCACAACAGAAATATTTATTGTTCCCCACAAGGGATTAAAAGGAATATAAAAGAAGCAAAGTGAAAGCAGAAAACAATATAGCAAGACTGCACACTAAGGGCAAATTTAAAACAAAAGAAAATAATGTTAGTTATTCAACATAGCATGTTGAGATTGTCATTTTATTTTCCTTCCTATCATGTAAAGTAGTTTGAATTACCTTGTTGCTAAAATATTCCATTATATGACAGTGTGCTAACGACCTTTTTTTTTTTTTAAATCTACACAAATTCAAAATAGATTGTCCTGCATTAACTGAAGATGATTTCAAGCACACTTTGTGTTTTCTGATTTTATCAATATGCTTGCAGAAACAAACAAAACAAAAACAAAAATTAGGTTCATACACAGGACAGAAAAATATATCTTACATGGTATTTA